GCTCGCACCGCCGCTTGTCTGCACTGCCCAAAACATCAACATTCCCACTTTTCCAGGACTTTTCCCAATTTCCCAGGATTTCTCCCACTTTTCCAGAGTTTTTCCCGATTTTTCCCAGTTTTTTCCCCATTTTTTTCCCATTTTTGTCCCAATTTTTGCCGCTATTTCCCCGCCAGGTCCCGCTGTTCCTGCTCGCGCTGCCACTTCCCTGTGCTGCCAAAAACACCAACATTCCCACTTTTCCAGGACTTTTCCCACTTTTCCCGGATTTTTCCCACTTTTCCAGGACTTTTCCCACTTTTCCGGGATTTTTCCCACTTTTCCAGGATTTTTCCACCTTTTTTCCCACTTTTCTCCCCCCTCTTCTTCCCGATTTTCCCACCAATTTTTCCCGCTTTTCTCCCACTTTTTTCCACACTTTTCCCACTTTTCCCCACCATTATCCCAGTTTTTCCCACTTTTTCCCACTTTTCCCTGCAATTTTCCCACTTTTCCCTGTTTTTTCTTGCTTCTTCCCCACTTTTCCCTGTTTTTTCCCCACTTTTCCCCACCATTAGCCCACATTTTCCCACTTTTTTATTTTTTCCTGCTTCTTTCCCACTTTTCCCCACTTTTCCCTGTTTTTTTTTCCCACTTTTTCCCCCATTTTCCCCACTTTTTCCCTGCAATTTTCCCACTTTTCCCCACTTTTCCCTGGTTTTTTTCCCACTTTTTCCTCCATTTTCCCCACTTTTTCCCCCAATTTTCCCACTTTTCCCCACCATTATCCCACTTTTTCCCGTTTTTCCCTGGTTTTCCCTGGTTTTTCCCACTTTTTCCCTGCTTTTTTTCCCACAATCATCCCGGTTTTTTCCCGCTTTTCCCCACCATTATCCCACTTTCCCCCTCCATCCCAGAATTCCCAACCCCCCCGGAACAATCCCAAAAACTTCCCGACTCCCCACAAACCCCAAACCTCCAAAATTCCGGGACCATTCCCAGAAAAAAAAAAAACAAAAAACAAAACAAAAAAAAACCCGGAATTCCCTCAAAAAAAAAAAAAAAAACACCAAAAAAAAGGCGGGAAAACCACAAAAAATTCCCGGGAAAAGGGCTCTGGAATTCCGAGGGATCCGGGAATTCCGGTACCTCTGGCCGGGGTCGCAGGGGGATCCTTTGCGCTTCCGGGATTCGGGAAGGGCCGGATCCGCGGAGCCGTCGCCGAGGCCGCTCATGGTGGGAATCCTACGGAAAACCTGGGGAAAAAAAAAAAAAAAACAAAAAAACGGGAAAAAAAAAAAACAAACTTGGGAATTCTTGGTTTTTCCAGGAGGGAAAAATGCGGAAATTTGGGATTTGGGGATTTTTTTTGGCGGGGGTTTTTCGGGAATTGCCGAGATTTTGGGGGTTTCGGGGATTTCTGGGGATTTCTGGGATTCCTGATATTCCCATGGATTTGAGATTCCCCAGGGATTCCCAGGGATTTGGGATTCCCAGAATTCCTGGAAATTTGGGATTCCCAGGGGTTTTGGATTCCTGATATTCCCGGGGATTTTTGAATTCCAGGAATTCCTAGGGATTTGGAACTCCCAGGATTCCTGGAAATTTGTGATTCCCAGGGATTTGGGATTCTCAGGGATCCCCAGGGATTCCTGGAAATTTGTGATTCCCAGGGATTTGGGATTCCCAGAAATTCCCAGAGAATTGGGATTCCCAGAGATTTGGGATTCCCAGGGATTTTCAATTCCCAATGATTCCAAGGATTATTGATTCCTGAGATTCCCGAGGATTTGGGATCCCAGGGATTTCCAGGGATTTAGGATTCCTGATATTCCCATGAATTTGGGATTCCCAGAATTCGCAGGGATTCAGGATTCCCAGGGATTTTTAATTCCCAAGGATTCCCAGGATTTTAGATTCCTGGGAATTCCCAGGGCAGGAATTCCCACGCTGGAATTCCCGGGACAGGAATTCCCGGGACAGAATTCCTGGGAATTCCAGGGTGGAGCTGTTCCCGGGTCTCCGAAGGCAGTCGGGAAGAGCCGGAGCCGGCACCGAGGGGAGAACCGGACACGGAACCGAACGGAACCAACCGGAACCGAACGGAACTGAATGGAACCGATCGGAACCGGACACGGAACCGACCGGAACCGACCAGAACCGAGCGGAACCAACCGGAACTGAACAGAACTGACCGGAACCGGAACCAACCGGAACCGGAACCAACCGGAACCAACCGGAACCAACCAGAACCAAACCCAAACCATCGGAACCCATCAGAACCCAACCCAGCCCAACGGAACCAAACCCAACGGAGCCAAAACCAACCCAGCCCAACGGAACCCAACAGAACCCAACCCGAAAGGACCCAACGGAACCGAACCAAACCCAGAAGAACCCAAAAGAACCCAATGGAACCAAATGGAACCCAACAGAACCAGGCAGAATCGAACCCAACCCAAAAGAACCCAATGGAACCGAACCCAACCGAACCCAACCCAACAGAACAAAGCCCAACCCAGAAGAACCCAACGGAACCCAACAGAACCCAACAAAACCAAACAGAACCGAACTCAACGCAACAGAACCCAACAGAACCCAACGGAACGCAACAGAACCGAACCCAACCCAACAGAACCCAACGGAACGCAACAGAACCGAACCCAACCCAACAGAACCCAACGGAACGCAACAGAACCGAACCCAACCCAACAGAACCCAACGGAACGCAACAGAACCGAACCCAACCCAACAGAACCCAACGGAACGCAACAGAACCGAACCCAACCCAACAGAACCCAACGGAACGCAACAGAACCGAACCCAACCCAACAGAACCCAACGGAACGCAACAGAACCGAACCCAACCCAACAGAACCCAACGGAACCCAACAGAACCCAACAGAACCAAACCCAACCCAACCAAACCCAATGGAACCGAACCCAACCCAAATGAACCCAACAGAACCCAACAAAACCAAACAGAACCGAACCCAGCCCAACAGAACCCAACAGAACCCAACAGAACCCAACCAAACCCAACAGAACCCAACGGAACCCAACAGAACCAAACTCAACCCAACAGAACCCAACGGAACCAAACCCAACCCCACGGAACCCAATGGAACCAAATCCAACCAAACCCAACCCAACCAAACCCAATGGAACCGAACCCAACCCAATAGAACCCAACAGAACCAAACCAAACCCAACGGAACCGAACCCAGCCCAACAGAACCCAACAGAACCCAACGGAACCAAACCAAACCCAACGGAACCCAACAGAACCGAACCTGGTGGAACCAAGCCCAACAGAACCAAACCAAACCCAACAGAACCCAACGGCACCAAACAGAACCGAACCCAACCCAAAAGAACCCCATGGAACCGAACCCAACTCAATGGAACCCAACGGAACAAAACAGAACCAAACCCAACCCAACAGAACCAAACCCAACGGAACCGAACCAAACAGAACCAAACTCAACCAAACCCAACCCAACAGAACCCAAATGAATCCAACAGAACCCAACGGAACCGAACCAAACAGAACCAAACTCAACCAAGCCCAACCCAAATGAACCCAACGGAACCCAACAGAACCCAATGGAACCAAGTGGGACCAACCCAACCCAACAGAACCAAACCCAATGGAACCAAACCCAACGGAACCAAACCAAATCCAAGAGAACCCAACAGAACAGAACAGAACCCAACAGGACCCAACCAAACCCAAGGAAACCCAAGGGAACCGATCCAAACCCAACAGAACCAAACCCAACCCAACAGAACCCAACAGAACCCAACGGAACCAAATGGGACCAAACCCAACCCAACAGAACCAAACCCAATGGAACCAAACCCAACCCAACCCAACGGAACCAAACCAAATCCAACAGAACCCAACAGAACAGAACCCAACAGGACCCAACCAAACCCAAGGAAACCCAAGGGAACCGATCCAAACCCAACAGAACCAAACCCAACCCAACAGAACCCAACAGAACCAAATGGGACCAAACCCAACCCAAAAGAACCGAACCAAACCCAACCCAACCAAATGGGACCAAGCCAAACAGAACCGAACCCAAGAGAACCCAACTGAACCAAATCCAACCCAACAGAACCCGATGGAACTGAACCAAACCCAACCAGTGGGGAGGAACCCAACCCAACAGAACCGAACCCAACCCAACGGAACCCAATAGAACCCAAAAAAACCAAACCAAATCCAACCCAACAGAACCCAACAGAACCCAACCAGATCCAGCCCAACAGAACCCAACGGGGACTGAACACAACCCAACAGAACCGAACCGAAACCAAAAGAACCGAACTGAACCCAACAGAACCGAACCCAACCCAAAAGAACCCAAAAGAACCAAACCAAATCCAACCCAACAGAACCCAACAGAACCCAACCAGATCCAGCCCAACAGAACCCAACGGGGACTGAACACAACCCAACAGAACCGAACCGAACCCAAAAGAACCGAACTGAACCCAACAGAACCAAACCCAACCCAAAAGAACCCAAAAGAACCAAACCAAACCCAACCAAACACAACCCAACAGAACCGAACAGAACCCAACAGAACCGAACCAAACCCAACCAAACCAATCAGAACTGAACCCAACAGAGCCCAGTTGAACCAAATCCAGCCCAACAGAACCCAACGGGGACCAAACACAACCCAACAGAACCCAACAGAACCGAACCAAACCAAACCAAACCAAACAGAACTGAACCCAACAGAGCCCAATTGAACCAAATCCAGCCCAACAGAACCCGATGGAACCGAACAGAACCCAACGGGACCAAACAGAACCCAACCAAGCCAGTGGTGATGAACCAAATCAAACCCAACCCAACGGAACCCAAGAGAACCCATCAGAACCGAACCAAACCAAACAGAACCCAATGGAACCAAATCCAACCCAACAGAACCCAAGGGAACCAAATCCAGTCAAACCCAACAGAACAAAACCAGATCCAACAGAACCAAATGGGACCAAACCGAACCCAACGGAACCCAACAGAACCCAAGAGAACCGAACCAAACCCAATGGAACCAAACGGGACCAAACCAAACCCAACCGAATCAAACAGAACCCAACAGGACCAAACCAAACCCAACGGAACCAAAACCAACCCAATGGAACCCAACCCAACCAAACCGAACTGAACCCGAGAGAACCCAACAGAACTGAACAGAACCCAACAGGACCAAAACAAACCCAATGGAACCCAACCCAACCCAACCGAACCAAACCGAACCCAACAGAACCAAACCCACCCCAACCAGTGGGGATGAACCCAACCCAACAGAACCTAACGGAACCAAACAGAACCCAACAGAACCCAAGGGAACCAAACGGGACCAAAACAAACTCAACGGAACCCAATTAAAACCCAACCCAACAGAACCCAAGGGAACCAAACCCAACCCAACAGAACCAAACCCAACCCAACAGAACCCAACAGAACCCAAGGGAACCAAATCAAACCCAACAGAACCAAACCAAACCCAACCCAACCAAATGGGACCAAACCCAAGAGAACCCAATTGAACCAAATCCAACCAAACAGAACCCGATGGAACCGAACCAAACCCAACCCAATCAAACAGAACCCAACAGGACCAAACCAAACCAAACGAGACCAAACCGAACCAAACCCAACAGAACCAAAACAAACCCAACAGAACCCAACCCAACCAAACTGAACAGAACCAAACCCAACAGAACCAAACCCAACCCAACCAGTGGGGATGAACCCAACCCAACAGAACCAAACAGAACCAAACCCAACCGAACCAAACCCAACCGAACCCAACAGAACCAAACCCAACCCAACCAGTGGGGATGAACCCAACCCAACAGAACCAAACGGAACCAAACCCAATCCAACCGAATCAAACAGAACCCAACAGAACCAAGCCCAACCAAACCCAATGGAACCAAAACCAACTCAATGGAACCCAACCCAACCAAACCGAACTGAACCCAAGAGAACCCAACAGAACTGAACAGAACCCAACAGAACTGAACAGAACCCAACAGAACTGAACAGAACCCAACAGGACCAAAACAAACCCAATGGGACCCAACCCAACCCAACCGAACCAAACCGAACCCAACAGAACCAAACCCAACCCAACCAGTGGGGATGAACCCAACCCAACAGAACCTAACGGAACCAAACAGAACCCAACAGAACCCAAGGGAACCAAACGGGACCAAAACAAACTCAACGGAACCCAATTAAAACCCAACCCAACAGAACCCAAGGGAACCAAACCCAACCCAACAGAACCAAACCCAACCCAACAGAACCCAACAGAACCCAAGGGAACCAAATCCAACCCAACAGAACCAAACCAAACCCAACCCAACCAAATGGGACCAAACCCAAGAGAACCCAATTGAACCAAATCCAACCAAACAGAACCCAATGGAACCGAACCAAACCCAACCCAATCAAACAGAACCCAACAGGACCAAACCAAACCAAACGAGACCAAATCGAACCAAACCCAACAGAACCAAAACAAACCCAACAGAACCCAACCCAACCAAACTGAACAGAACCAAACCCAACAGAACCCAACCCAACCGAACCCAACAGAACCAAACCCAACCCAACCAGTGGGGATGAACCCAACCCAACAGAACCAAACGGAACCAAACCAAATCCAACCAAATCAAACAGAACCCAACAGAACCAAGCCAAACCAAACCCAATGGAACCAAAACCAACCCAATGGAACCCAACCCAACCAAACCGAACTGAACCCGAGAGAACCCAACAGAACTGAACAGAACCCAACAGAACTGAACAGAACCCAACAGAACTGAACAGAACCCAACAGAACTGAACAGAACCCAACAGAACTGAACAGAACCCAACAGAACTGAACAGAACCCAACAGAACTGAACAGAACCCAACAGAACTGAACAGAACCCAACAGAACTGAACAGAACCCAACAGAACTGAACAGAACCCAACAGAACTGAACAGAACCCAACAGAACTAAAACAAACCCAATGGAACCCAACCCAACAGAACCCAAAAGAACCAAACCCAACCCAACCAGTGGGGATGAACCCAACCCAACAGAACCAAACGGAGCCCAACGGAACCAAATCCAACCCAACAAAACCAAACAGAACCCAACAGAACACAAAGAACCCAAGAGAACCAAACAGAATCCAAAGAACCCAACGAAACCCAACAGAACCCAACGGAACCAAACAGAACCCAAAGGAACCAAACGGAACCAAACAGAACCCAAAGGAACCAAACGGAACCAAACAGAACCCAAAGAACCCAACGAAACCCAACAGAACCCAACAGAACCAAACAGAACCCAAAGAACCAAACGGAACCAAACAGAACCCAAAGGAACCAAACGGAACCAAACAGAACCCAAAGAACCCAACGAAACCCAACAGAACCCAACAGAACCAAACAGAACCCAAAGAACCAAACGGAACCAAACAGAACCCAAAGGAACCAAACGGAACCAAACAGAACCCAAAGAACCCAACGGAACCAAACAGAACCCAAAGAACCCAACGGAACCAAAGTGAACCCAAAGAACCCAACGGAACCAAAGAGAACCCAAAGAACCCAACGGAACCAAACAGAACCCAACAGAACCAAACGGAACCCAAAGAACCCAATGGAACCAAATCCAACCCAACAAAACCAAACGGAACCAAACAGAACCCAAAGGAACCAAACGGAACCAAAGAGAACCCAAAGAACCCAACGGAACCCAACAGAACCCAAAGAACCCAAGAGAACCAAACAGAACCAAACAGAACCAAAGAGAACCCAAAGAACCCAACGGAACCCAACGAACCCAAGAGAACCAAACAGAACCAAACAGAACCGAACCCCAGGGAATGAACCCCAAGGACCCCCCCAGGCCACCCCAGGCCGGGGATCGGAACCGGGCGGAACCGGAAAGAGAAAATGAAAAATCGAAATAAAACAGAATAAAAGTTAAGAAATATAAAATAATATAAAAAAAAATAAAGAAAATAAAAATAAAATAAAGCACAATAAAATACAATGAAATACAATAAAAATACAGCAAATATAAAATAAAAGTTAATAGAATAAAATAAAATAAAACATATAAAAACAAAATAAAACAAAACAAAACAAAATAAAATAAAATAAAATAAAACAAAATTAAAATAAAATAAAATTGGATTAAATTTAAATAAAATAAAACTAAAATAAAGTAAAATTAAAATAAAAATAAAATTAAAGTGAAATTTAATAAAACAAAATAAAATAAAAAAATTAAATGAAAGTCAAATCAAATAAATTGAAATTAAATAAAATAAAACAAAAAATAAAATAAAACTAATCAAAATTAAATAAAACAAAAAATAAACTTCACAATCAAATGAAACAAAATTAAAGAAATAAAATACAATGGAAATAAAATGGAAATAAAATTAAAAAAAAATAAAAAATAAACTGAAATAAACTGAAATAAAATAAGCTAGAATAAAATAAAATAAAATAAAATAAAATAAAATAAAATAAAATAAAATAAAATAAAATAAAATTTTACTAAATTGAATTAAATTGAATTAAATTGAATTAAACTGAATTAAACAGAATTAAATTGAATTAAACTCCGAAAGAACGAAAATGAAACTTATGAAATAAATTGAAATAAAATAAAATAAAAGTGGAATTTAATAAAATTGAAATAAAATAAAGTAATAGAAAAGAAAAAAACAAAAATGAAATAAAATAAAATTAAATTAGATTAAAGCAAAACAAAATTAAGTAAAATTAAAATAAACTTGAAATAAAATAAAATAAAATAAAATAAAATAAAATAAAATGCAATAAAATAATGTAAAATAAAATAAACCAAAAAAAATAAAATTTGACTGAATTAAATGGAATTAAATTCCCAGGGAAAGAAAATGAAATGAAATGAAATGTAATGAAATAAAATAGAATAAAATTAAATTAAATTAAATTAAATTAAATTAAAATTTGACTAAATTAAATTAAATTAAATTGAATTAAACTCCCAGGGTAGGAAAATGAAATTAAATGAAATTAAATGAAATTAAATGAAATTAAAT